GCTTGCTTGCTTGCTTGCTTGCAGGGTGTGTGGGGGATAAGGGGAGGCCCCTGCGACCCATGCGCTTCTTGTCTTTCTTTCGCGAGGGCTATGGCTATGGTGCACGGGGAACCCCCCTGCACCGCGCGCTAGTGCGCAACCAACGGTTGCGGGTGCCAAGAAGTTGCAGTGCATGCAAAGCTCGGAGACAACTGAAGGTAGACGAAAGCATCCCTCGGCAACAAGCCCCCAAAGGAAAAACAAGGGCAAGCTGGTCATGTTCGTGGCGAAATGGCACATTGTGGTATAGAAGCAAGCCTGAACAAGAAGTACAGTCACCGCTATTTCGACAGGCATTGGGGATGTCCCCCAGTTTAGACAAAACAATCTGCTATCGACGCTGGGCCCTGACAAGCGAAGCAATCAGCAGTGCACAGAAACATGAGAAAACGGTGCAAGTTCACAGTATGCCTCAGTCACCTCTACTCTGGCAAGCCAAGGGAAACGCGCTTCTTCTCTCTCACTCACTCACTCCGGGGTTCAGGCAGCTATCGAGGCTGCCCGCACCGAAAGGTTCGCCCTCTTGCAGGCCCTTGTGGGGGAGAAGAGAACACGCAACATGTTTCTCTCTGCTTCGCTCTCTCTCTTTCGTTCCATCTCCTGTAACAGCGTGCCGGAAGGGCTGCCATGCAAAAGCCTGGCTCCTGAGAAGGCGCAGCCTCTGTCTCTGTGTCCACACGTTACTTTTCTAGGATTCTAGGTGTGAGGCCTCCCTCTGCAGCACGAAGAGCATCTTCGAGTCCTCCAGCCGCTGGGCTCCACTCTGAGCCCACGGAAAATCGTGGCCAGGTGCCAGGCTGTTAAGAGACTCCAGACCGCGTGCCTTGCCGTTTACGGGACACCCTGTGAGCATGCGGCTGATCCGGATGGAAGCACTTAAAGTGCACCGGTGTTTCACATGACGGAGACGGTACACCAGGGCTGCTGCCATAATCTCGTGACAAAGGGCCTCTGCCAAGGCTTCGAAAATCTTCCCATCGAAATGCCATGGTGGCCGTGAGCATGAGTCCGACAAGACATCTTAGCCTCTGAGCTTCTGGCATCTCCCATCTCAACTCCACTGCATGCGTCGGCAACGGCACAGGCGGCGAGGTTTGCTGCCTGAGAGAACAACCGTTTTCCTGCTCCCCTCTGCACAAGGCAGGGACGGCAGGGATTCCAGGACCATGGCGAGGGCACAGGTCGCCCTGCATCTGAAAAGCTCCGCGGAATTCACACTTCCCTGTCCCAGCGAGACCGAAGTCACAGGAAACAGGCGAACGGAAAACTAGCTCGGCTATACAATGCTGCCGCGAGCAGCCGAAACGAGCCTCAGTCGCTTTGCCATATAGCAGCCAAGCATCGAAGTGTTTCCCCTGCGCCTGAAGACAAATGACGGGATGCGAGCCCTGACTGTTCTGGGACTCATGTCCAAGGTCCCTCGATGCTATCTGAGACTAGCGCCTCTGATCGCTTTGCCAGCTCCAAGTATGGCACCTGGCTACAAGGTCAGTTGGTAGCCATGCACACTCACGTGTGCTGGCGAACCTGGTGTGGAGAAGCTGGCCAGCATGATCCGCCAGGTCCTGCCTCACAGAAACATGTGCGGTGTTCAAAACCTTTCATGCTGTTCTACAAGGATGGTACTAGCGCCGAAGCTATCGCATTGCGGACGCGAGCTGTGGAGCGTCTAGCGCGCCGGCATTTTCGATATTCGCTGACGCGTTCACTGACGCGCCACTGCCGCGCACCGAACCCCACTTGACGCGGACAAACCAATCTTAACGTTTATATAAACTCCCACAGGAAGGGTTTAGAACGCCGCACACATGAATGTGGGCGCCTGGTGCACCACTGACATCCGCCCGACTGTGCTGCTCATCAGCTCTGAGGCCGTTGGCTGGTGACCTGGGGTCGGCCCGGAGCAAAATTCCCACCTCAACGTCAGCCGCCACTGCCTGCAAGCTGCGAAAAGATTCAGAATTTGACAAAACATTCCTAGACTCCACAGCCTGAATCTACAGCCAAACACAAGAAAACACTTCAGGGGTTTTGCTTGTATTCCCCCTCTGAGTTTGCGCTCGTCGGTCCTCACATAACTAGGCCACCATATGACCATTCCGTGGCGAGGAACCAACAGCACGCAAGAAAAGTTGTACAGGCTCAGGCTCTGAACGAGCTGGGAGATGTGTTAGCTGTTAGCGGAAGATAAACCATCCGCATTCTCATTTCTCTCCGAGAGATGGAATGCATTCCTGCTGCTCAAAGACGTCTTCCTTTTGGAAGAAAACATGACTCGCCTCTGCGTGCAATGCATAGCGGTCAGTGTCGGTAGCGCAGAGGAAACTTTAACTGCCGTGCAAGAGGGAGCACTGGTTCCTGGTGCAGACGGAAGATGATTCATTGCACATACTACCGTTACTACCATACAAGATCTCTACTGGCAGGAACCGTGTCCTGCTGACACAAGCCACTTGCACTGAATTGACTGAATTCTCTGCTGCCGCTGCAGTGCAGGAGAAAAGAGCATCAGAGGATCACTCAGAGAAGTCGGTAAAGCCGGTCTGTTCATGCAATGGTTGTATCCACACTTCTCTTGGAGAGCCTCCTGGGAAAAGATGGCCTGCCCAGGTGCAAGGGAACTCTCTTCAGATCCACGCGTCGTCAACTCTTGCCTGCGTGGCTTCGGGAATGTCGATGCATCCAGCCGCATGACGAGCAAGCCCAGCAGTTCTTGCATTGCCCTCGATTCGCAACGCAAGGTTGCCATGTCCACACCTAAGCGGCCGAGGGCTTGCAGTATGTCATGAGAAAGTCGACTGAGCAAGGGCCTGAAGCACTGCCTCGCAAGCGCAGGCAGCCATCTACAAAGGCCTTGGTAACGAAATTATAGCTTTGAAAGCGTCCTAGGTTGGGGGTCACGACGAGTGGTTTGTGGAAACTTGGTTCCCAGCATCTTTTGAGATTGAACCGCAGGCTTCTTCATCAAGAAGCTTGAACAAAGTCCACGCATCCCCTCGCATCCAAACGTCGGCTCCCAAGACTCTCTTGCTAGCTCACGTTGGTAGCGACCGGACCTCCTTCGATTCCCAGGGCTTGCAAATTAAACTTTCCGTTCTCCTCTGCCATCCATACCTTGGCTTTCCCACCAACTGCTGCCTGCACTTAGACTAAGTCGCTACAACTGCTGCGGGAGAACGATTTGGCTTGCCAAGATACTTCAAATTCATCAAGTGTGATCCCTTCAGAGTCATCCTTGTCAATAAAGTAGAACAGGTTTGACCTGTGAGCCACTATGCGGATATCAACTGTCGAGTAGGGAAAGAGGAAAGGCTGCGGCGGCTCTGATTCGAGATGTTGCTGGACAAAGCTAAGCTTTCGGCAACTGATTGCGCAAGTGTGTCGCATCTTTCGAGATAGCGACGATGTCAGGATCTCTCGATAGTGCTTCCATCGCGCTGTTGCAGAACACACCAGTTAAAATGTTCAGCAACGCAAAATACGTAAACGAAATGTATAGTATAAAGATGAAGCCCATGATTGGGTCCAGCTCGTTCAATGGAACATACACCAGCTGCCAGTTGATGCCGCCCGAAATTGCCATGAAGCAAGTGGTCATTGATGTGAAGAGGTCTTTCCAGAAATCCAACCTGGGACACTGGAAAATGTCTCCATGGAGTGCCAGATGGATAGCATCCCTTCTTGCGCATATCGGCAGCACCCTGCTCATGTCTGAACGAGGTTCGAGAGTTTGAGACACCCGAGTGGGAAGCATCACTGAGGCGAGCGCACACATGACGCGAAACAGTATTTACGGAAGGCAGTACACATCCAGCGAAAGTGGAAAGCGATTAAACAGAAACGAACGTCCTTGCAGTGGGTCTAACTTTTGCAGTAAAGAATCAAGGCCGGCTTTGTATCCTCGACAGCTTCCACCCCCTCGGTGATTACATGGGCAGTCACCGTCTGGGCGAAGAGGATTGAAACCTGACCAAATGACAACGGGCTCGGCCAGCTGCACTTGGAAATATAGGCTTACAGAAAATCTGCCTTCCTGCAAGACAATAGGCCAACGCCACATGCTGAATCCGGTGACTAACGAACCTATTTGGTTAGCAGAGGTTGAATCTGGGCACGGTGTAGATCATAAGCACCAGCAGGACCGCCTCGGAGACTTGCTGCCACAGATGCTTGGCCTAGTTCTGTCGTGCGGGATCTGCAATGTATTGACGAGTGTCCGCCCAAACCAGATACCAGAGAGTGTGAGAAATCGATGAAACCTTGATGTATGACGGCAGGGGTCACATGTTGTGTGCACTCAATGCCACGGCCTCAGCCTCGTTGATTTGCATGGAAGGGTGAAGAGCATGCAGGTAACTTTAGAGGAAACTCCACTGCTTTCGGACTGAGCAGCGAGGGTCTGCAAAGGACCAACATATTTCAAGAGTGAAGGAATCCGCAGCGCACGCAGCAGCCGCGTCACCTGGCACAGACATGTGCAAACTAATTACCCTCGTGAGCGATCTGCCAAAAGTGCTGGCTGTAACATTCGCAGGCACCCGCAGGATCTTCAACAGGCGCAGCTGTGAGAAACCAGGCAATCCCTCCCACGGCTCGTGAAAGAAGCTGCGAATGTCCTGGGGGGCAATGTTGCAAATAGCCCAGCATAGCCCAGCCCCACACCAGTTTTTGCTTCATCACCTTAAGATGCGACGCCTGAAAAGAAAGCCAAGAGTCTAAGCCAAGTTCTACAGCTGATCCGGCTGCGAGGAAAGCATCGAAGAAGAACCAGGTACAGCCTGCGATTCGCCATGGCAAGAGACCTCGATCAAGTGTCCGCAAGAGGGCCTTGGCGCGCGGACCAGCGCCAACCGAAGGCATACCTTGACCATTCATGGCACAAGGCACTACCCTGCAAAGCAGCTCCACTTCCCCTCAAACTCGATATGCTGCCAAACTGCACTCGCAGAAGAAGCTCCAAAGCAAGGATCGCATTGAGGGTCATGCGGGCTGCTACCTGACAGCTCGCACTTGGGGTGGTTCAGCACGGAAAGCTGAGGGCCCGGCAAAGACGTCTGGAAGGGCAGTTGAATTGTCTGTCGCCGTGTACTGGACCTTTGTTTCTCAATTGCGGGAACGCCAGGCCGCAAAGCATCATCTTTGGAAACTCGATTATCCCCACCTCGAACCCGACCAGGACCGAGCTAAGCAAAATGACCGCCGCCAAGGCCATGTCAACCGCAGTACTCCTGACAACGTGCCCAAGGCAGTTTCACGACCTTCTACAAGCTTCTGCGACATGGACATAAACACGGCCTCATGCACACTTGCAGTGCGGTCTGCTTGAGCTTGTCATGGGAGGCGTTGGAGCTCCGCAAGCTCCGTGCATGTTCGCGGCGCGTCTCGTCGTGGGAAGCCCCAAAAGTAATGCTTAGCCTCTTCGCTTTGCTCTGTGGAGTCTCCTCTTCCTGCAAAACGGCACAAACAGGTAAGACGGCTGACATGTTTCTGACGACAAGGTTGGACGTCCTCCTCTCCACGGTCTTTCTTGGTAGTTTCCTCCCGGACAACCACACGCTCTCACTGAGCCTTCTCCGCACCAAGGTCAAAACGTGTCAGCAACGGGCGTTAGATGCAACATAGCGCAAAGCTGTCCTTGCTTGTGCTTTCAGTGACATCGGCCGGGGTAATAATCAACGTTGGCGGCATTGCGAGCAGATGGGGGAAGTTTGAAGACACTTCGGATTCCTGGATGCAGATGCGATAGGACACAAAAACGCGGTGCACCGCCCAAAGTTGAATTGCCGCTCGGTTGCTGTATCTCCGAGCTGCTCACCGGCAACACGCCTGGGTAAGGTCACAAAGGAGTATGTAGCGGCTTTATATCAGCAGACAGCGACTGAGAAGAGAAACGAGGCTAGGACCTGAGTCTGGGGACGACATCCCGTCGTAGCAAATCTCGAAAACGTGCCTCGAGCCGCAGCTCCAGTGACCGGAGCTTGTCCTCTTTCGACAAAAATGTGTTTTGCTGTGTTGCTGTGCTGGCACGGTGTCTGATGGAATTTCCAGGTGCATCGTCCTCCAAAACCTCTGACAACATGCAGCGCAGGGCTTTTTCGGGATGCTCTGGTAAGACCGGATCATCCGGTCGCGAGCAAGTGGACTCCAGTGAATCAGCCATGCGTCCTTCCCATTTGAAGCGATGCTCGGAATATGAATTCAGGGGACATTGAGCAGCAAGCTGCGGCACTAGGCTCCATGAAACACCCATGATGACGCAAGAGCGTTCCATCAAGCACGATGCACAAAAAGACTGACACAAGAAGACTGCCAAGGACTTGTAGGCCTTGCTGTCCTGGACGACGCACATGGCCTCGAAGAGCTCTCTTGCCTCGATGTGAGCCAGACAAATTCTCAAGCAATATGCGCGTGGCTACACCTCCCATTGTCGATGCTCGCACTGGAGGCGGTAGAAGCGCGCCATCATGGCCTCAAGCCGCGAGTGACAGCGAAAACTGCAGAGCATCTGGAGCCTTTGCTCGAGCTCACCGAGGCTGGAACGCCGGAGGTCGTGCGGACGCGGAACTGGTCGCTTGCAGAGAGGTAGCCGAGCCTTGGTGCTGTTGCATGTAGAAATATTGCATGCCCTGGTGAAACTACATCCAAACGCTTTCCGCCTACATATGAGTGCTAGAAGTAACCTTTGACAGCTTTCCTCAGATGGCGGCTGCGTCCAGCGTTTGCGCCAGAATGAAGCGAAATCACAAACACAGAAATGAAGCAGCATGGCCTCACGACGAGCTGAAGTGCGCTGACACGTGTCGGTCAAGATAGCATCATGTCGACTCTGAATGTAGTCCCCCCGGAAGGACAAAAAGACTGCAAAAAGCTGTGATTGCCAATTGCGTGGACGCGAGCCTGAAGCGTTGCAACAGAGAACGGGCCCAGCCACAGAATACGAGGCTGCGACATTTCTGCAGCGGTCAAGACGCGGACTTGGCGCCAACTCTGAAGCAGAAGAGTGCTCATGATGAAGGAAGGATCTTAGTCGACGGCACCTCTTCGTCGTTTGACAGGCGGCCCTCCTACTGCAGTATACTGCAGTGCCCAGCGAAGCAGCAACACACAGTTTCGCCTTGATGGCTTCTGATCGCACGACCTGAGGCACCCATCCTTGCGACGATTGACAGCTGCCTGCCACAAGTGGTCGTTGTTGGTGAACCTGGGCGCTCAGGCCAAACACTGAAGAGGGCGGGAGGGGGAAGCTACGCACGGTGTCCTAAGACTGGTGAAATAGGGATTGATTTAAACGTGGAGGGGGCAAAAAAGCAGGAGCCCTTTACTTTACGTGGACATCCAGCACGCCGACAGCAGCTCGGAGTGGAATGTCAAGGTCTCTGTGCATGCTGCGTGCCCTTTTGAGTTTTGGAACTTGCTCGCAGTCCGGCTACGAGCTTCAAACTTCCTTTCCGGACGGCCCAAGCAGCCGGCAATTGTCATGGTCGCTAAAGCTGCTAGCCGTGCAACTCTGAAGGAAACTCTGCGTCAACTCAGACTACCATCTCCAGATGCGGGGTGGCAGGCGATTTCCTCGGTCATACAACTGCTTGCCTGGGACTGCAGTGTCGCTTGCAAGCCCCCTTGGCCAGCCGAGGCACGCATCCCGTGCGGCGATTCCTGGCACACAAGAGTGGTCGGGAAGCTCTCCGGAGCATCGCTTGCACTGTGGGTCCGAGTGCCTCTGCTCAAGGTGCGCAGCTTCCTCTGCTCCAGCACTTGCACTTGGCTCGATGTCTTGGGCACCTTGTAGTGATCCCCCGTGTCCTGACGAGATGTCAGCAAACCGCGCGCCCTGGACAACCTCTCCCCAGCCTGTGCGATACGTTCATACCAGCGGTTCGAATATCCGACCTCTTCGACCTGAGGGACTGATCTCACATGCCGAGCGGGCCGAAGATCTGCTGCTCCGAATCGCTCCGCCTTCGGCACAATACCTCCCTGGCGACCTCCGTGGTCAGGCGCTTGTGGCCCAAGGGAAGAAATGTGGAAGCCGTCACGGAAGGTCACCTCTCAGCTGCCAGAGGCTCTTTCAGGCATACGAAACGAGCACACGAGATGGCACAAAACACCCGTCAACTAGTAACTAGCTGGATCTAAGTGGACCACCATGAGTTGACCAAACAGAGCCCACTCTTCTTGCACAATTTTGTCGGCCCGTGCACCGTCTGCCGCGGTCCTTGAGTTCGGGACTCTGTGTGTTGAGAAACGCCTTTTACACACGACTTCGCAGCTCCCAACAAACATCAGGTGCCGGCAGGGCGCAAGTACTCCAAGGCAGCTGCAGGATCCTTTCGATACTTTGCCACTGCGACCAGTTCCTGCGCCGGCGGCCGAGGCTCACGTTGATGTCAGAAGACACTTCGGAGCAAATGCGCCTCCAATTCCAGTGCCCGGGCGAAGCGCTCCTCCGCCTCGCCGGCTTTTTGCACGACGCCAGCCGCCGCAAACCACCTGCAAAAGTCGGACGGCATTCTACGACCGACACGCCCCACATCCCTTCATGCAGCATGCAGCATATTGCAGCATGCTTCGGCACGCTCTTCGGAAGCAGGCAGAAGTCGCGTTTCTCACGAGATGCCAATGCGACATCAATGCCAACAACAACAACACCTTCCTGAGGCCCCGGTGCAGTCGCACACCGCGAACTCTGAGTGTTAACGGAAGAGGCAAACTGCACGACATGGTCGTAAAGTGCAGCATGTCCATCTAAGGCTCGCAGCTGGAAACAGCATACACCAAACAGAGTTCGCCTTCCCTCTGGGTTTGTGCCCGGGCACATTCCAGCACCTACTGCTGCACCCGTTAAACCCAAAAGTTTGGACAAGTTCGTGAGGGTTGACCTCATGCTAAGATAACAGAAACTGAAAGGAAACGAATTTTGACACGGCAGCTAGATCGCGATGTTGACTCCGAAAGCGAAATAAATGGAACATGAAGATCACACGTCGGCCTGACATCATACCCAACCTGTGGACACAACTTTCGTACGAAGTAGCACGTTGATCAGGCCCACCAGAGCATTACAAGTCCCAGATGTACAAAGGCTCCGCACTACCCGATGATTACCTTGATAGATCCTAGGTCGGATGCAGGGGGCGCTCGTGCCGCCATCGGTGGATGGGTGTGGGTGTGGGTGTGGGTGTGGGTGTGGGTGTGGGTGTGGGTGTGGGTGTGGGTGTGGGTGTGTGTGTGTGTGTGTGTTTGTGTGTGTGTTTCTCC